CACCCTGGGGCTGCCACCGTCCTCTCACCTGTCACCCCGATGGCAGACACGGGGCCCTGGCGCTGGTCACCATGGAAGCCGTACAGGTTCATCTTATACTTGTGGTCTGGCTCCAGGCCCGAGATGGTGACCTCGTCCTGGTGTCCTGGCACCTGCACCACCTTGCGCTGCCCGTCCCCATTCTTGTATTGAACCAGGAAGTGGTCAAACTGCCCCTCGGGGACGGTCCAGGAGAGGCGCAGGGAGTCGGGGGAGGATCCTGTCACCATCAGCTCCCCCAGGATGGGCTTCTCGGGGGCCTCTGGGGCCTCAGTACTGGGCTCCGTGGGGAAGGGGGTGTCACCCACATCCACCTGGGGAGCTGAGAAAGAGATAGGGGGTGGAGGCTTAGATGGCAACCTGCTTTTCTGCTGAAGTCTATAGGGACGATAAAGTTCATCCTGCTACAGTGCTCTTCGAACTGCAGGATTAGAGGCTGGTGTGGCCTTTGGGTTGGCCATTCGGTTACTCATCGTGGGAGCTGAGACCGGCTCCCAAACCCCAGTCATGGACCTGCTGGCGGGCACCAAAAAACTCCAGAAGGCAATTCAGAAACATGTGTCAGGAGCCAAAATAATGCTTATTTCCTTTGAACCAATAATCTCATTTCTGGGCAGCTATCCTAAGAAAATTATTAAGAAGCAGGAAAAAGTCGTATCATAGTAGTTCATTCTGGGATTATTTATGACAGCAAAATGCGTCAGGGACCAAATGACCCACAGATGATTCATTTTGTTGTGGCACTTTCACCATGAAGCATCATAGTTATTAAAGTGATGATTAATGCAGGTTGTGCAGCCACAGGATAAAGACTCACAGTGTAACCCGGGGACAAAAAAAAGCAAGTGCCAAGAATCAGATGAACGCTCTGCAGCTTTAAAACACGCACTGCACCCGGAATGTAGACAGAGGGCCCTTATTGGGTCAAAAGGTGGCCTGATGAGAGATTTTTTTCCCCATTTTGCAAAATTTTTCATCATGTTGCTATATTCTTTTCACTAGAAAAATACAGACTCAAAAAGAAATCCTGGATAATGAAAATTGATAATCCAGGGGAAGGTGAGGCATGAGGACATGGGTCCCCTCTACTCTGTGTTTGGGATTCACCCTGATAGAGGGTAATGAGAACCTGGGCCATGAATAAGAATTGACAGCTTACCTTCAGCATGGGAATTGTTCTAACGTCCATTTTCTAATGAGTTCCCTATTCTCCCTTCCCCTACCACTGCTGTGAACACACCTATAGAAATGAGGCCCACCTCCCAGGAGTCAGGGGACTGAGGGAAATGGTTCCTCTGTGCGCAGTATCTTCAGGGGAGCAGAGTAAACCTCAGAGCTGCTCACTCGGTGTCACCGAGACCACAACCCACCCTCCAAAGGATCCATCTCAGAGGAGCGGGGCTCTCCCACACCCAGAGGACCTCTGGAAAGTCTCTCACCAGGCATAAGAACCTGGCTGACAATGACAGAAAAGCCAGCCTGACTGCGCTGAAATCAAATTTATTTTGTGATTTCCCCCCTTATTTCTTAGAGGCTAGAAATTGTCTTTTTCAAAATTAGAAATCAAATAAGTTGCAAGAATGATGGGTGGGGTTGGGGGTGAGACTAGGAGTACAAGAGAGAAGACATCTTTTTTAAAAAAGTTCCCTAATTATAAAAGAAACGTGTCATTTAAGAAAATAGGTATAAAACAGGAAGAAAAAAGTGCTGCCACATTCTATTCTGTCCCACAAACATGCATCCCATGAGATGTGTTTCCTTTCAGTTTTCTCCCCATGCATGTTATTTTCAAGCGGTTGTGTGTTGGGAGCCATGCAGGCTGGCTTTACTGTAGTATCACTTATTTTGCTTCTTGCTCCTTTCTGCACCTGGAGGATGCTTACTTAACCTTGAGGCATGTGGTGAGAAAGCCAGTTCCTTAGAAGACACACGAAGATAGAGGGCTGTTTGGCTTTGGGGAAGATA